GACTATAGATCAGTCTACAGTCAAGACTATAGATCAGTCTATAGATCAGTCTATAGTCAAGACTATAGATCAGTCTATAGTCAAGACTTTAGATCAGTCTATAGTCAAGACTATAGATCAGTCTATAGTCAAGGCTATTGATCAGTCTATAGTCAAGACTTTTGATCAGTCTATAGTCAAGACTATTGATCGGTCTATAGTCAAGGCTATAGATGAGCCTATAGTCAAGTCTATAGATCAGTCAATATCAGTCTATAGTCAAATCTATAGATCCATCTAAATATCTATATATTAGTCTATAGTCAAGACTATAGATCATATATTCATTCTACAGTCTAGACTGTAGATCAATTTATAGTCAAGACGGTACCGATCTGTGGATCTGTCTTTCGTCATAGTTTTTACTTTTTTTTTTTTGTTTCAAATATATACATGTTTTCCAAAATACTCACAACTTTACTTAAGTAAAAGTTGTAGTTTTTTTATTAATTGCAAACACTATTTTTAGATTAAAGCCAATTTAGAAAAAAAAACAACCCACTGTTGATTTTTAATGCCATTGAAAAGTTGTCATTACTAAAATACAAATAGTTTTGTTTTTTTCATCTATAATTTATTTAAGCAAATTAACATGTTTCACAATTTAAGACTGATTTCCTAAATATGTTAATGTTTTTATTTTATGATTCTAAAATTGATGTAATCATAGTTTAGCAAATCTTTGAAAAGAATTCAAATGATCAAAATAAAAGAGTAGGTAGGTGTTTGGTTGATATAAAAACACTCAAATGTTCTAAATAAAAAAACTTTTAATAATCTAAAAATTTCATATAAAAATCTCTTTTTAAGCTGAATTCTAAAAATTACAATAACATTCAGCGGATATTTGTAATCATAAAATAATCATTAAATTTTTTCATTACACTACGAAGTGGTCATCAAAATTTCCAATTACATCTCACACCAATACAAACCATAGGATTGTCATTAACCACAACTTGAATATTAAATTTTTAATAACACTGCGACAGACAGAAACAAATTTACACCTACATATAAATTCTACAAGATGTTAATATAAAAACAAAATAATTTTTATAGCTCTTTTTGCCATTATTAAAAAAAAGGAAATATATAAAAAATTCTGTTAAATCTCTAAATACTTGATGCACTTTTAATTTGCTATAATTTGAAACATTTTTTCACTTTTTTGTCTTAAATGAAAGCGTTGAAGTATTTAATTTGGTTTATTGTAACAGCTTTGGAAATACCAAAAATTTCAGTCTAATAAATTTGATTTTTGTCTTTATTGTTATTTTTCTTTGTGATTTAATGTTAATAAAATAAATATTTATTTTTATTTATCATTGTGTTATTTTGCAAATAAAAAAAGATTTAGTGATTTCAACTCTAAATTGTTTATTTATTAGCTAAGATTTCCAATTCAAACTTTTATGATTTTTTTTTCAAATTTTAATAGTTTTTTGTGACAATATTTATAGTCACAGAAATAACTTAATTTATTTTATTTTTTTAAAACTATTTTTAAGTAGGTGAAAGATTATTAAAATATGAAATGTTAAGACACAAAAACAAAAGACTTAAGAACCAAACTCGATTTGAATTGAAAAGATGGCTTCATTAGAGTGAATCACAAACATATTAAAAATTCACAAAAACAAATACAACCTGCTAAATAATATACAGAAATTAATATCTATAAAGCAGGTAATAAAATGGCCTAAAGGCTTTGACAATAAGTCTTTAGTCTTGACTATGGAGTGCCTTATAGTCTTGAATATAGATTGATATATAATCTTGACTATAGACTGATCAATAATCTTGACTATAGTCTTGAATATAGACTGATCTATTGTCGTGTCGATACACTGATCTATAGTCTTGACTATAAACTAATCTATAGTCTTGACTATAAACTAATCTATAGTCTTGACTATAAACTAATCTATAGTCTTGACTATAAACTAATCTATAGTCTTGACTACAAACTTATCTATAGTCTTGACTATAAACCAATGTATAGTCTTGACTATAAACTAATGTATAGTCTTGACTATAAACTAATCTATAGTCTTGACTATAAACTAATCTAAAGTCTTGACTATAAACTAATCTATAGTCTTGACTATAAACTAATCTATAGTCTTGATTATAAACTAATCTATAGTCTTGACTATAGACTGATCTATAGTCTTGACTATAGACTGGTCTATAGTCTTGACTATAGACTGATCTATAGTATTGACTATAGACTGATCTATAGTATTGACTATAGACTGATCTATAGTCTTTACTAAAGACTGATCTATAGTCTTGACTAAAGACTGATCTATAGTCTTGACTATAGACTGATCTATAGTCTTGACTATAGACTGATCTATAGTCTTGACTATAGACTGATCTAAAGTCTTGACTATAGAATGATCTATAGTCTTGACTATAGAATGATCTATAGTCTTGACTATAGAATGATCTATAGTCTTGACTATAGACTGATCTATAGTCTTGACTATAGACTGATCTATAGTCTTGACTATAGACTGATCTATAGTCTTGACTATGGACTGATCTATAGTCTTGACTATAGACTGATCTATATTCTTGACTATAGACTGATCTATAGTCTTGACTATAGACTGATCTATAGTCTTGACTATAGACTGATCTATAGTCTTGACTATAGACTGATCTATAGTCTTGACTATAGACTGATCTATAGTCTTGACTATAGACTGATCTATAGTCTTGACTATAGACTGATCTATAGTCTTGACTATAAACTGATCTATAGTCTTGACTATAAACTGATCTATAATCTTGACTATAGACTGATCTACAGTCTTCACTATATACTGATCTACAGTCTTCACTATAGACTGATCTATAGTCTTGACGATAGACTGATCTATAGTCTTGACTAAAGACTTATCTATAGTCATGACAATAGACTGATCTATAGTCAAGACAATAGACTGATCTATAGTCAAGACAATAGACTGATCTATAGTTATTACAATAGACTGATCTATAGTCATGACTATAGACTGATCTATAGTCGTGACTATAGACTGATCTATAGTCGTGACTATAGACTGATCTATAGTCGTGACTATAGACTGATCTATAGTCTTTACCATATTCTGATTTATAGTCCTGATTATAGCCTGATCTATAGTCTGGATTATAGACTGATCTATAATCTTGACTATCGACTGACCTATAGTCTAGTCTAAAGACTAATCTATAGTCTAGCCTATAGACTGATCTATTATCTAGCCTATAGACTGATCTAAATACTTGATTATAGACTGATCTATAGTTTTGACTAAAGACTGATCTATAGTCTTGACTATAGACTGATCTATAGTCTTGGCTATCCATAGTATATAGTCTTGACTATAGACTGATCTATAGTCTTGACTAAAGACTGATCTATAGTCTTGACTGTAGACTGATCTATAGTCTTCACTATAGACTGATCTATAGTCTTCACTATAGACTGATCTATAGTCTACACTATAGACTGATCTATAGTCTTCACTATAGACTGATTTATAGTCTTCACTATAGACTGATCTATAGTCTTGACTATAGACTGATCTATAGTCTTGACTATAGACTGATATATAGTCTTGACTACAGACTGATCTATATTCTTGACTATAGACTGATCTATAGTCTTGACTATAGACTGATCTATAGTCTTGACTATAGCCTGATCTATAGTCTTGAATATAGACTGATCTATAGTCTTGACTTTAGACTGATCTAAAGTATGGACTATAAACTGACCTATAGTTTTTACTATAGACTGATTTATAGTTTTGGCTATGGATTGATTATAGTCTTGACTATAGACCGAAATGACTATAGATTGAGTATACTCTGGTCTATAGTCTTAACTATAGACTTATATGATCTATAGTCTAGCCTACAGACTGATCTATAGTCTAGGCTATAGACTGATATAAGTACTTGGCTATAGACTGATCTATAGTTTTGACTATAAAGTTATCTATAATCTTTTCTATAGTCTTACTTATAGTCTTGACTATAGACTTATCTATAGTCTTGACTATAGACTTATCTATAGTCTTGACTGTAGACTGATCAATAGTTTTGAATATAGACTTGACTATAGATTGATGTATAGTCGTGATTATAGTCTGATCTATAGGCTTGACTATAGACTGATCTATAGTCTTGACTATAGACTGATCTATAGTCTTGACTATAGACTGATCTATAGTCTTGACTATAGACTGATCTATAGTCTTGACTATAGACTGATATATAGTATGGGCTATAGACTAATCTACAGTTTTGACTACAGACTGATCTATAGTCTTAACTATAGACTGATCTATAGTCTTGACTATAGACGGATCTATAGTCTTGACTATAGACTTGACTGTAGACTAATCTATAGTCTTGACTATAGACTGATCCATAGTCTAGACTATATACTGATCTATAGTCTTGACCAGTGACTCTTGTCTTCATTTGATTTAAACTGATCTATATTATTGATTATAGACTAATTAATAGTCTTGGTCTATAGTCTTGACCACTGACTCTTGTCTTCATTTGATTTAAACCGATCAATGTTATTGATTATAGACTAATTAATAGTATTGACTATAGACTGATCCACAGTCTTTCCACGGGTCTATTTCGTTTCTCGAAATACATATGTTTTAAAAGTTATATTTATAGGGGTTTTGAACTGAAAAATTATATTCAATCATTATTATTTTGATCACTGTTTAATTTTGGGCTCTATTTGTTTCGAATCGAGTCGTTTACGTGGAAGGTGTGACTCATAAGATTATCACTTTTAGATCACATGTTCTTATATTTTTGTAAATGGTTTATGTAAAAATTTTACTAAATATATAATTATTTTTTAATTTTATTGTTTGTTTAATTTTATTTGAGTCCTTTTAAAATTTATCCTTTTTCTTCTCTTCAACACTCACCATTTTCACTGATTATTTTTTTATACGAAAAGTTCTTTTGAAATTATTAGCAATATCAAGGCTTTCTTCTCATCAACTAAGTCTCATAAAAACACACCGTTTACACTAGTTGCGAATTTCTTAAACTTCACCTATAAAAATTAAATAATATTATTTTCTTGTTAAATTAATAAAAAATTAAATAAAATGCTTAATTGTTTCTTTTTAACAAATCATTAATATATATATTTTTAATTTTGCAAAACTTCACATTAATTTCATAATTATCTGGAAAATAATTTATGCACATTCAATTGTTTCTTATAGAATTTTTTTCAATAATTTTTTATTTAAATTTTTATAAACAAAAACCCACTATTTTCTTATTTTTCTTTATAAATTCATTAATTTTATTTTATATATTTTTTTATTTTTCCGTTTTAATTTTTCGAATAAAATTTTAAAAAACAGAATTAAGTGAAGTTTAGTTTTCTCTGTTGATCGTGGCAGAAGTTGTGTTGACTCGTACGTATTATCCCATCAAATAACACACTTGACATGAGTTGTTGCTGTATTTATTTGTTTTTAGATCAATTTAAGTTTTTTTCTTGTTTTTGTTTTTATATTTCTCACTTGTGTCTGCGCGCGCGCGCACAGTATAGGTGCTCTTCATATGTATTGTTTCAGTTTCAATTTCATGTAAAAACCGTAAAAAATGAAAAATAAAATTGAGAATAATAAAGAATAAGTAGCATGATGATGATGGTTAAATCCAAAGAATACAATAATCATTCAGAGTTAGTGTGAAGTTACGCATGCTTAGTGCGCTCACAGTTATTTTTTTTAGATTCTTCTTCATTTGTTTTGGGCTCAAAGAGGTGTTGGGCTCCCCTTTCTGGCAATGATCAAGACAAGAGCGTATTAAGTGTTTGAAGCGTGCGAGTATGATAATACTGACTGTGTGATGTTTTTGTTTGGAAAAGAGCACAAGTATTGAACTGAACAATTGTTAAGAATTGAATTCTTTACAGCTCAGTTTGCAAATTCACATACGATGCAGTTAAATATTACAATATGTGCTGCATACATATTTAAGAGTACCCTACAATACTAATGATGGGATTTAGAAGTTAAAAATCCAGTTTGATGCTGTTCATTAAAAGCATTTCAAATAATTAATACTTTCACTTCCTTTAACAAATCGATAAATTTCATACGGAATTTTATTATACAAAATGTTCGATAAATGTCATTTTTATAGGAAATTTACGATAAATTTCCTTTTTATAGGAAATTTACGATAAATTTCCTTTTTATAGGAAATTTACGATAAATTTCCTTTTTATAGGAAATTTACGATAAATTTCCTTTTTATAGGAAATTTACGATAAATTTCCTTTTTATAGGAAATTTACGATAAATTTCCTTTTTATAGGAAATTTACGATAAATTTCCTTTTTATAGGAAATTTACGATAAATTTCCTTTTTATAGGAAATTTACGATAAATTTCCTTTTTATAGGAAATTTACGATAAATTTCCTTTTTATAGGAAATTTACGATAAATTTCCTTTTTATAGGAAATTTACGATAAATTTCCTTTTTATAGGAAATTTACGATAAATTTCCTTTTTATAGGAAATTTACGATAAATTTCCTTTTTATAGGAAATTTACGATAAATTTCCTTTTTATAGGAAATTTACGATAAATTTCCTTTTTATAGGAAATTTACGATAAATTTCCTTTTTATAGGAAATTTACGATAAATTTAGTTTTTATAGGAAATTTACGATAAATTTAGTTTTTATAGGAAATTTACGATAAATTTAGTTTTTATAGGAAATTTACGATCAATTTAGTTTTTATAGGAAATTTACGATAAATTTAGTTTTTATAGGAAATTTACGATAAATTTTCTTTTTATAGGAAATTTACGATAAATTTCCTTTTTAAAGGAAATTTACGATAAATTTCCTTTTTATAGGAAATTTTCTTTTTATAGAAAATTTTCGATAAATTTTCTTTTTATAGAAAATTTTCGATAAATTTTCTTTCTATAGGAAATTTTCGATAAATTTTCTTTCTATAGGAAATTTTCGATAAATTTTCTTTCTATAGGAAATTTTCGATAAATTTTCTTTCTATAGGGAATTTTCGATAAATTTTCTTTCTATAGGGAATTTTCGATAAATTTTCTTTCTATAGGGAATTTTCGATAAATTTTCTTTCTATAGGGAATTTTCGATAAATTTTCTTTCTATAGGGAATTTTCGATAAATTTTCTTTCTATAGGGAATTTTCGATAAATTTTCTTTTTATTAGGAATTTTCGATAAATTTTCTTTTTATTAGGAATTTTCGATAAATTTTCTTTTTATTAGGAATTTTCGATAAATTTCCTTTTTATAGGAAATTTTCGATAAATTTCCTTTTTATAGGAAATTTTCGATAAATTTCCTTTTTATAGGAAATTTTCGATAAATTTCCTTTTTATAGGAAATTTTCGATAAATTTTATAGAATTTTCGATAAATTTCCTTTTTATAGGAAATTTTCGATAAATTTCCTTTTTATAGGAAATTTTCGATAAATTTCCTTTTTATAGGAAATTTTCGATAAATTTCCTTTTTATAGGAAATTTTCGATAAATTTCCTTTTTATAGGAAATTTTCGATAAATTTCCTTTTTATAGGAAATTTTCGATAAATTTCCTTTTTATAGGAAATTTTCGATAAATTTCCTTTTTATAGGAAATTTTCGATAAATTTCCTTTTTATAGGAAATTTTCGATAAATTTCTTTTTTATAGGAAATTTTCGATAAATTTCCTTTTTATAGGAAATTTTCGATAAATTTCGATAAATTTCCTTTTTATAGGAAATTTTCGATAAATTTCCTTTTTATAGGAAATTTTCGATAAATTTCCTTTTTATAGGAAATTTTCGATAAATTTCCTTTTTATAGGAAATTTTCGATAAATATCCTTTTGATAGGAAATTTTCGATAAATATCCTTTTGATAGGAAATTTTAGTTAAATTTCCTTTTTATAGGAAATTTTCGATAAATTTTCGATAAATTTCCTTTTTATAGGAAATTTTCGATAAATTTCCTTTTGATAGGAAATTTTAGTTAAATTTCCTTTTTATAGGAAATTTTCGATAAATTTCCTTTTTATAGGAAATTTTCGATAAATTTCCTTTTTATAGGAAATTTTCGATAAATTTCCTTTTTATAGGAAATTTTCGATAAATATTCGATAAATTTCCTTTTTATAGGAAATTTTCGATAAATTTGCTTTTTTATAGAAAATTTAAAAAAATGTATTTTTTTAATGAAATTGTTGATCTTGTTAAGATTTATAGTGAATTTCTTAGTCTACTTTGTCCAGCTACAACTTTCTTACTTATTTCAGTTTCATTTCATTATCTTATTTATCACCCATTTTTAGTTTTGTTTGCTGACTCCTCTAGTTAAGCTCTGTTTAATTTTAGAATATATATATTTTATTTATAGTTTAAGAAATAAAATGAAGTTACATACTCACACTAACAAGTGTTACAATATTCATACAACCACAAAGTACTTAAATGTACACGCTCCATACACTTGTATGTTAATGAAAGTTTTACGATGTTGTTTGAATTGTATTTGGAACTGAATATAAACCATGTTATGTGTTTTTTTTTTCTAAAGCAAACTGATATTTAAGTTAATGTCACAAAGTATTGATGTTACTAGAAGTAGTAGAAAAAAAAACGTTTAGTGAACTATTTGTATGCATTTCATAAGATACATTTCATATTTGAACATTTGCGAATATGTAGAATAAAAGATGTTGAGAGTGTTTGGTTGATTGCTAGATTTTTTTCAGAAATTCTGCCAAATGTAACACTTCCCATTTTATTTACAGTTTTATTTTATTTAGCACATATACTAGGGCTTCTTATTCAAGTGATATGGTTAGACTAAAGATTCTTTCAAACATGAATGAACATGTTACAATGTGTCTAAAAGGTGTCAATTTAGTTAACACCGTTTATATATAAATTTTATATAAAGTTATTGAACTAGAAACTGTCCTACCTCAATAAATCACTTACAGAATTTATACTGTAAGGGGTTCATTGACCCTAGGGCTGTTACTTTTTTTATAATCCTGGCTTCTCTGCTGTTCAAAAACATTATTAATGAATCTGTTATTCATTTCTTAATAAAAACGGAAGTTCCCTTATCTATTGTGCTTGCAAAATTGCCATAAATTTAAAATTTCAAATGGTACCTCTTGGTCCATTTACCCACAACTACAAACTATTTCATTTTGCGCTCAAATTCTAAAACATTTTAATTAGATTCTTTTAAACAATTTCAAGGTTTTAATATAAACAAAAAACTTTGTCTTTTATAAAACTTTTTGAAAAAAGAATTAAGAAGAGGGGTGATTGTTTTTGCATAATATACGGTTTATTCAATATAGTTTAAAACTGAATACAAATTTGTTTGAAAGACATCTTTGAAGTGAAAGTTGTTAGATTAGATGGAGGCAAAGCTAAATTATTTTCAAGTGTTAAAATTTTTATAAATAATTTAGAAAAAATCGTTCCAATTTTATTTTGAAAAAAAAAAAAAATCCCCGTCAGTCTACCGTTAAAACAATATCAATTAAGATTTGTTCATCAAATTTTGTTGCCTAGGTATGACAAAGTAAATTGTTTTAAATCAATTTCGTATATTCTATAATTAATAAGTTGCTATGCTAATTTATGGATGTTTAATTAAGCCTTAAGAGGAATATTTAACGGAATTTGCTTAAATTAACTACCGTATTTAGTTTTCCGTTTTTTATTCGATAAGTGTTTTATTTATGTGTCATTTAACTCTAACTTTCAAAAACTAAATATTTATGCCAAATTTTTTGACCTTAATTATAAAACATTATAGAAGAGTCTTAATTAAAGCAAAATAAACATAAACAAATATGAAATTAATTAATACATTAGAACGTTAGGGAAACGCAAATTGCAAAATAAATCATAATAAAAATATAACTTCTTTATATATCTTGTATCATTCGACCTGATCCTGACCTATTTTCAAGAGAATATCTTATCTGTTAATAGAAAATTTTCAATAAATTTCCTTTTTATAGGAAATTTTCGATAAATTTCCTTTTTATAGGAAATTTTCGATAAATTTCCTTTTTATAGAAAATTTTCGATAAATTTCCTTTTTATAGGAAATTTTCGATAAATTTCCTTTTTATAGGAAATTTTCAATAAATTTTCTTTTTATAGGAAATTTTTAATAAATTTCCTTTTTATAGGAAATTTTTAATAAATTTCCTTTCGATAAATTTCCGTTTTATAGGGAATTTTCGATAAATTTCCTTTTTATAGGAAATTTTCGATGAATTTCCTTTTTATAGGAAATTTTCGATAAATTTCCTTTTTATAGGAAATTTTCGATAAATTTCCTTTTTATAGGAAATTTTCGATAAATTTCCTTTTTATAGGAAATTTTCGATAAATTTGCTTTTTATAGGAAATTTTCGATAAATTTGCTTTTTTATAGGAAATTT